TATCTCAAAATACTTGTTGCTTTCATCCGTTGCAGTTTTTGCTAATGATACAGCAATTTTCGTCCAAGCACAAACCGCAAACATTTTCGCGCGTTTGTTTACGTTTGAAACGTGGCGTTTACCGTTGGAAACGGAATGTTTCACTGCTCATGTGACGTGTTATAGTGAAAAGCCTAATTCAGTTATTTTTCATGTTTTGATGTGCTTTCGTGTACTTTTCAGTATTTCCAAGCTCACGATATTGTAAGAGCGACCAAACTTGTTTATATTCATAGTTTTTGTGACTAAAACGTATTATCATGGGCTTGGAAATATTGAAACGTGCACGGAAGCACGTCAAAACATGACAGTTGCGCCAAAAATAGCTTAAGGCTTTTCAATGTGACACGTCACATGAGCGGTGAAACATTTCAGTTTCCAACGGTAAACGCCCCGTTTCAAACGTAAACAAACGCGCGAAAATGTTTGCGGTTTGTGCTTGGACGAAAATTGCTGTAAGGCTTTATTTCTTAGGCTTGGCAATTCCGTTCATCACTTTCAGCATGTTATTAAACAAGAAACACGCACATGGGCGTACCGGAAGGAAAAAATTAGGGGGGGCGGAAAGAAATTTGCCCGACTTTTCGGGATTGTGCCCGACTAGTAGAGAAAAATATTTTTCCGGAAAAAATATTTTTGCGAATTCCTCCCCTCCCCCCTCCACCCCCCACCCCCGTCGCCAAAAATGTTTTGGTCAGTGTACCATTTTAGGGGTCAAAAAATTTTCCGGACACACCAAAATTTTCCGGAACATAACACAAATTTTCCAAACAACACAGTATGGACAACAAAATTGACCGAATTTCCTACAAAATTGACAGAATTTGCCCCATTTTTTTTATAATATACCAAAATTGCCCGACTGTTAATCGAATATTACCCGACTGCCCAACAAACTGGGGGGGGGGCTACCGCCTCCCCCCGCCCGGTACGCCTATGAACACGCATTTTTACCAAAATTATTATTAATAATTAAAACCTTTCAGATTTTACCGAAATTTTACCAAAAAAACTTATATTACCAAATTTTCTTGAAATAGCTCAAGGAAGTGAACAACCAACTGCGCAGACGACGTGGAAAGAGATGCCGGACTTGCTACCACCCTATGCATCTTGACTTTCTTTAATTTTTCAGTATCGTAAAACATGTCACATAAAGAGGAAATAAACAGGTCGAGATCAGTGGTCGAGATACCCCTGTTCCTGTTTACGAGTATCGCCGTTTTGTTTACTAAATTTTGCTGATGTAAGCATGTTTACCCATAGCAGCCCAAAACGGCGTGTAGACTGCACCAAATGCTCAGCCGTTGCGCACGTTGTAACCAATAATCTATTGGCGTTGTAATGCCATTGTATGCAATAAAGTATTGAGTTGTAATGAGTCTCAGTCTACGATTAATCCAAACGTTAATCCAAATCCTAACCTCTAACCCCTAACCACTAACCCCCAACCACTAACCCGGTGGCCTGCTTTTCCGGAGTCCGGGAATTTAACGGGTACGGGTGTTTTCTGTTTAATTCAGTGTAGGGCGTTAAAGTAGTAAATACTTCAACATCTTACTGGATAAATCAATGTTATCAATGCACATTTCCTCGTCAAATTTTTCCCAAATCTATAGTGAACATCGTCAACAAAAGTTACTATTCTTCGATCGGCTTTCGTACCCCGGAATATCTTGGATTTCTTAAGTTGCAAGTCGTTCCTCGATTTACGGGTACGGATATATTACCCGTGTACCCGTAAACCGGAACCTGGCCCTGGGTTGGCCCTGGGTATCTTATAAGCTACGTTTACATTCGTACGGGTTACTGGGTTAGCTTTCCGTAGCGACGTGAAAAAACACCTATCCGCACCTTTTAGGAACGATATTTTCAGAGGAATTATTGCAACGGAGAGATGTTGTTTAGTCTCAGCTTCTGAAAGTTGTACATTCCGTATCAGATAGTTCAGTGCTTCTTCATGCCGCTACGAAAAGCTATCCGATACAAGGCGTAGCTTTCTCTAATAAAACACAAAACAATAGACACTCCGAAAATTGTAAACATTTTTAATCTTTACGTTTCGACTATAATTTAAGTCATCTTCAGAAGAAACCCCTATTGCTGGCCAGAGAAAATATCTAAAAAATATGCTCACTGATAGGGGTGTCAGAATTTCTGACACCCCTATTGCTGGCCAGAGAGAACATCTAACCCCCCCCCCACCCCAACACCTATTAAACCAAACCCCTATTGTAGAAGAATTCTTCTGAAGATGACTTATATTATAGTCGAAACGTAAAGAATAAAAATGTTTACAATTTTCGGAGTGTCTATTGTTTTCAGGTATTTTATTAAAATACTCCATGGCAACCGCAATTTTTCTCAACCTCTCTGCTTAGTGAATCTTAGCACGACCAGCCTGAAATTTAAGCCGCGTTTACACTTGCATTTTTTGCTGAGATTTTAGGTGCGATTTTCTTCTTCTGATGGATGTGAAAGAGTGGATGAGTTATGAATGTTGAGATGAGGGGACATCGGTGGTACACATTCAGAAGAAGAAAACAGTACAACAATCATAACGCAAGTACAACATTCATAACGCATCTACTCGTTCACATACATCAGAAGAACAAAATCGCAGCAAAAATTGCAACGGACCTTTGAAAAATGAAGCGCCCTAAATACAAAAAGCATTTCGGGTTGGATAAAACTAGAACTGAGATATATATTTTTTCCAACGAATAAATTACGACAAGTGTGTTTATATTATTTTTTCAGAAACCTTAGCCAACTGATTTTTTTCTCAAAAATAACAAAATGATTATCGCTGTCCGCATAAAACGCTTCATTAATGTCTTCGTTATTCAAATCACTGCAGTTTGCCGACACGTAATTAAGGTAATTTGTATATAACATTGTAGTCTGAGGATGATTTAGATCGGAAAATCACTACTACCTTAAATGTCATCATTTTAAAACACTCAATTTTCGGATTAGCACTCATTTGGTTTTATAATATTATATGCATCAATAATTAAATGAATTTTCGTATAGTGTGGTATGAGGCGTAATCTTAGGCAGCGTTTACACTGTACCGTTTTCGTAGCGTTCTCGTATTGTTCGAGAGAACTAGACTATTGTCTTGCGTTCCCTTGAGGATTAAGAACAATACGAGAACGCTACGAAAACGGTACAGTGTAAACGCTGCCCTAGATTCCTAGTACGATACGCGTGCTATCTTTTTAATTCTTCCGTTTACTAAATGTCAAACTATAAAAAATGATGTTTGACATTTTGATATACAGCGAGATTGGCAAGCTTGGGTGCAGATAGGAAGGGTATAGAAGTGACTCGAACTCCGATAACCATATGGCTATAGCTTAAATAATGTGGTATAAAATGTCATCAAAACAGCTTTCATGAGATTTCCATATTAGAATTAGCATTTGTATGTTTTTAATTCCATTTACTTAAGATGACTAACCATGATAAATACACTAAAAATACAGTTAAAAAATTTTGAGCTCTCAACCCCCTTAAATTTTGACCCAATTATTTCGACTATTTTGAAGTCTAATCGTTAACTCAAAAACAAAATAAGTTAACAAGGAAATCCTACGGGAGCTGTTTTCACGACACTTATTTGTACTATTACAGTAAGCCTCGATCAAACAAGAATGGGGGGGGGTGTGGGGGTGTGGGGGTGAATAGGTTTCGGATAATCGGATTTCACAGAAAAAAATGTTCGGATCTGGCGAATATTTTATACAGATTTGCGGATCTTATTAATACAGTGGATTCCGGATTTATCCAATATTTTGGCTCGGATTGTGGATTTAGCCTGCAATTTAGTTCGGATCCTGGATTGTGATTTCATAGTAGAGCTTTTAGCGGATTCAAATTTAGACAAGACTATTGTCGGATCATGGATTTTGCTTCAAATTTGGGCGAATCGGCGGATTTGTATACCCCTATTCACCCCCTCCCCCCCCCCAAGAATAAGAGTTAATTAAAGTTGCAACTCTCGCTCGTGTTTTATCACTGACTCTCATCGACTCTCATGCACTTTCATCAACTTTGAGCTCGTTCAAATGTTGATGAGAGTTTTTGCCACGCGCGTGGTAATACCCTGTTAACTCTCATGCAACTTTTGGTCTCGTTTGGATCGGGGCATGAGAGTTGAGAAAACTCGCCGCATGCAAACTCTCGCTTTAATTAAATTAAGGGACTATTTACAAGACTTTAATCACACTAGTATCAGATTGGCAACATCCCAGGAACTCGAAGATAATCTACAGTTATTGATGAAACAGCGTTTATTTCTTACAAATTAAAGCCGTATAGTGTATTTACAAAAATGTTAAGATCTGATGTAATTTACAATGTACTCATCAGAATTCAGAAAATAATTTGTAAACCCCTAGCTTTACAACTTTTATCATTCTTTATAACATCAATCAACTTCTCGCCGTATGTTCGAATCCCACCGTGGCCGGGCATATTTTTCAAGCTCGCCCGGTGTGGATATACACTCAGAGTAACACCGCAAATATCATATTCACCTGAGTACACTACACCAACACAGAAAAAATTCGAAGGCACAATGTTGTTAGCTTACAATGTTCATCTCGCAGTGCCTTACGCAAAGTGGGTATACATTGATCTGTTAACCAACATCCTTCAAGATTCAATTCAGTAAGCTTGCAATGCTCTTTTGTCAGGGCATCTTCAAACAATATACCTACACCTTTATCACCTATGGCCGTGAAGCCCAGTGATAGAAAAATCAGTTGACACCGTTCATCTTGCAATGCCTTACACAAACTGGGTATGCATTGATCCGTTAACGAACGCTCAGCAAGATCCAACACCATAAGCTTACAATGCTCTTTTGTCAAAGCATCTTCGAATAACATACCTACACCTTCATCACCTATGGCATTATTTCTCAGTGATAGAGCAACCAGTTGACAACGTCCATCTTGCAGTGCCTTACACAAACTGGGTATGCATTGATCCGTTAACGAACACCTTTCAAGATCCAACATAGTAAGCTTACAATGTTCTTTTGTCAAGGCATCTTCAAACAATCTACATGCACCTTTATCACCTATGGCACTGAACCCCAGTGATAGAACAGTCAATTGACAATGTTTATCCTGCAGTGCTTTCACTAGTGTAGGAATACATCGATCTGTTAACTCACACACACTGACATCCAATTCATAAAGCTGACGAAGCCCTCTCGTCAGAGTATCGTACAACACCATTGCACCCTCATCACGTATTGAATTATTTCAAAGATCCAAATCGGTAAGGTTTGGACAATGTCCATTGTTAAGGACTTCACAAAGTTTCGAAATTTCATGTGAAAGAATGCCATTAATATGCAGTAGATTTAACTGCTTAAGTTGGCTCGCATGTCCGTTTTCAAAAAATTTGCACATGATTGGTAAACCTGCTTCGGTCATTGACATATCCTTAAGTGTTAACGTAGTCAGCTTAGTGTGTTCGTGGTCGAACGTGCAGTTTAATTCCATTAATGCGCTAAATATTTGGTCGACTAGTTCGTCTGGAACAAGGCAATCTACTGGCGAAAACAGTTCTAGTTTATTTAGGTATCTTTCTCGTAGCAATCCTAGGACCTGCGGAAGACAATTTGCTGCAAATCCAGACAATTTCAATTGTGCCAATCTTTTCATGTGTTTGCAAACGAAAGTCACTGCTGCCCAGTCACTTGGAGAAAGATCATAAACATCTGGATCATTGCTTAGTTCTACCAAATCGTTTATAGCAGTTGTTTCGCAAACTTCTTTAGTAATCTCTTCATTGTCCGCTTCCCTTAAACACTTCATTATAAACACTTCACGGTATTCAACTTCAATTTCACCACCATCAACTTCGAAGCTTTCAGCAAACGCGAAAACACAATCCTTGTATTCCCTATCAAAATTCTTGATTTTCTTGCCCAAAAGTCCTGCAATGAACTGAAGAACTAAATGCCATTTACCACTTTCAGCAATATAATCCAAAATAAACTGCTCTATTTCCGGTGGAGCGAATGTTTCAGTCACGTGTCTTGCAGCAAGAAATTCTTGTATGGTTAGATGGATAAAACAAAATTGTGTTTGTAGTGGGAAAATAGGGTTAGATAAACTGTTTAATAAACCTGATTTTTTCATTTGTTCGTCAAATAATACTTGATCAAAAATCAGTTGGCCGCTTTCCATACCAAGGAATGCTAATCGTTGAAGTTGCTTTAACGCTTCATGTGCCATAGAGTTTCTGTCGGCATTTCTGTGATGATGTTTCTCAAAATGGTCTATGGCTGTCTGGTAAAGTTCTGTCAGTGTTGTTGGAAGAGCACCAGTTTTATTTCTTGGGTCACTAAGACATCCAGAGAAGGTAACACACACTATAAAGCAGTTGACTGGAATGTAACATAAGTTTAAAAGTTCTGATGAGGATTTTATATGGTTCCATGTCTTCGCTTTAAGGTCACTCGTGTTATTATTGTCACAAAATCGGCTGACATATTCTTCAATCTTATCAGAAGTGAAACCAATAATCTCCACATTTCGATCAAAATCAAGTCTAGAGTAAAAATCATCTGCAGTCGGTCTGCTCGTTACGACAACTGTTGCTTCTTTCAACAAGTCGCCCAAAGCTAGTTTAATGAATAAATTCATTGCTGACATGCCAGCATCAGGATCGTTTGGAATGATGCGAGGTTGGTCTAAGCAACTTATGGGATCGCCGTGATATTCATCCAAACCATCAAAAATAAGAATGGCCTTTTGTGGTTCTTTTGCAATTTCTTCATAAATACTTTCAAAATTTTTCTCATTCAGTCCCGTCCCAAACCGAAGAAATGTCTTGAGGGATATATTTATTAATTTGTTAATATCCTCGTTGAACCATCTGAATTTGAAAAAGAAGACAATCTTGTCACAGTAATATTCATCAATTCCATTAGCCCAATCACGCAGAATTTTTTTCTGTCAAGACAGTTTTACCAATTCCAGGTCTTCCAATCACCAAAATGCTACGAGGAAATTTTCCCTTTGTATCTCTGTTTGGATAAAATAAATTTTCAATCCTTTCTAAACTTACTGAGTACGGAGGGACTTTCATATAAACGTCGTAGATTTCGTGTCTTTTCATTTCTTCAGGAAAATTATGCAGAGCTCGTCCTGTATGGATAGCAACGTCAATATACAAATCATCTATATTAACGTTTGGTCCATAAATAATGCCAGGATCACGAGAACGATTCAAAACTTGTTCCTTGTAAAAGTTGATACAGTCCTCAGTCCCAGGGTCCTGGATGTCATTGTCGATAATGGTACATTCTTGAGCGATGGAGTCGGGAGTGTCCTGACTCCTAGTGTCCTGAATGCTATCGCTCAAAGTGCTACACGCTTGAGCGACAGAGTCCAGAGTGCTATAATCCTGAATGCTACAGTGTGGAGGGTTGTTTTCGATGCTTGTTAATAAAGGTTCACTTTCACCAGGCACGTTATATTGTTTGTCCAGAAGACATTCAATACGTGGATGAGAATGTTTCAAAACATATTTCTTGTGAACGTCGATACAGTCCATAGTGGTACATTCTTGAGCGATGGAGTCGGGAATGCCCTGATTCCTAGGGTCCTGAATGCTATCGTTCATAGTGCTATAACTACACGCTTGAGCGACAGAGTCCGGAATGCTATAATGCTGAGTGCTACAGTGTGGAGGGTTGCTTTCGATATCTGGTAAAGATTGACTTTGAACAGGTACATTATATTGCTTGCCAAGAAGATATTCAATAACAAATTTAGAATCACAGCTCCAGCCAACTCCAGAATGATGGTTGAGGATTGGTAAACGTGGCAAAAGATAAATCACTTCCACAAGTATAACTGCAGCAACAATACTATTTATTACAGACACAAATATACCCGATACCCATTTTTCTGACGCTGTCGCATTCTTACATGTTACTATTGTACCATTCAAATTACGACTCGCATTCGAATTTGTTGGTGTATTTATGTTGGATATTACTTGATCCGTTGGTGATACATGACAGTCGAATTTGAAATCAAACCCATTTGGATAGAAATATGTGTGCTGCAAAACAGTCAAAATGATCACAAATAACCCACGAAGAACAAGGTGGACAAAATATAAATTCAAAACATATACTGTTTTCCTATTACTCTGTCCACAATTCACGGTTTTGCCATTAGTCTGAGTCGTTTGACGTTCATGGCTTGACTCTATTTCGTCGACGCGCTTCCATACTAGCAGTGAATAAATAACACTGACAAGAACTGTGAAATCAATACTTAGCAAAACAAAGCCATACAAAGGTATAGGGGAGTTATAAGCTTGATCGTATCTCGCAAAACATACCTGATCGGCCTGTTTCTTGTACGTGGCCGAACTTTTAACATCGACAGGGCAAAAAAATTTCCCATTCTCGCTTAGCCTCAAAGCTGCAGTAACAGCAGTAAATACCAATCCACAAAGGAAATGAAAAATTACACATACATAGCCGACAATACCAAATCTTTTCGGTGCTAAATAATCCTTAACGATGTCTATCATCTTGATATTTAATAAACTACATCTTTGAAACTTTGGTCTGTGCACTTTAATGTTTGTGCACAGCAATTTGGGTAAAATGAAGCGCCAACTCAGTGTGTTTTTGTTGATATTCAACAGACAAGAGACAACAAATAAGTTATTTGAATGCATGGTTAAAGCCGTACAAAAGATGGCAAAGATGCATGGGGAGCTTTTGTGTCTTTGATATTGTTAAAAGTTAATTGGAAATGATCTAAAGTTAAGTTGCTCAATATATAGAAATGACTAGAAAATACCGGAGATTCCATTTTTCTTCGGCTGGGCAGATTTTCCGGTACAGTGTTGGACTTCCTGAAATAGTTGTATTTCACAATTATACAAGCGTTGGTTCTCTGCAAGATGACGTTTAGGTCTCGACAAAGCAAGAAATGTACAAGCAGACAGTTTAAACACAGAATAGGAAGTTATAGAAAAAGTTCTATAACTAGTTAGTTTAACTATAACTAGTTCTATACCTTCCTATTCTGTGGTTTAAAAGTCTGTCAATATGACGTGATGGGCTGGACTCCCCACAGGGCACAGGCGTGGGGCAAAACTGATGTGATTTTAAAATTAATAATTATTTGAATGCATTTTACTTTTAGTGCAATTAGCAATATTGCGTATTATATTCAAAATACCGAAGATTTCATTATATTTTGATTATTAAGTACGAGTCGAGGTAAACGTCACCTTTCATGAATGTCTCACACTTTGTGAAATAGTTGTATTTCATGAACATTATATAAGCGTAAGCTTTCTTCAAAATACTTTCAGAAGAATTATGGAATTTATAGACAGACATGATAAAAGCTTGTCTATATATGTTTTTTTTCCATTTCGTACCGAAACGCAGTGTATTTTTTTGTCTCCTAGCTGAACAAGGATTTTCAAATTATTCGACACAAAAGAAATGTATACTATGCCAGACGTTTCAAAGTTGATTACGTTGTTAAATTTAGCTAGACTCCCCACAGGCATAACTAGATGAATTATTTTTGTGTTCAACATGAGTCATCATGTCGTGACTGTTGTTATCCCTTAGCCTGCGAACAGGCTCTCAAGCTGAATTGAGAGCCTGCATCGATGACTAATGAATTTGAATATCTGCCCCGTAACGTTCGTTTTTCCAAATATGGAATGTCTATCCTTATATGGTGTTGTTTACAACTTTCGTGTAAACTAAATTTAGACCGTGCAAACTAAATTTAGACCGTACAGTTTACACTGTTTTTCGAAATATAAGATATTCAAGCAAAAGTTCCAATGTTTTAAATACTGTTTTCTCAAAACAGAACATTTCGTGCTTTGAGATAAGATGGCCAAGACCAATTTGATCAGTTAATGTGTTTTTATGCATAGTGCTTCAGCAGTTGACATATATAGAACTCAGCGGAAACATATAAATTATAGCATCTGACCAATGAGAATTTCGCGTCACGATTTGAGACGCAGATATTCAAATTCATTAGTCATCGATGCAGGCTCTCAATTCAGCTTGAGAGCCTGTTCGCAGGCTAGTTATCCCTTTACTCACAATGCTCCAGCAAAATTATGCAACATGATATAAAATCATGTGAAAGAAGCAGTAGATTAGGGACCATATACACGTATTCGCACAAGACACAGACGCTTAATAAAAAAAATTGCGCTATATGATATATATACTTCAGTATTATCACTGTATAGCATTGAAATGAATATATTAACTGCATGGAACGCTCACTTCAGATAAAACTGCGTATATTTCAGTATTGAAGCCAAATCTGCCTTCCAAAACTAAAAGTCAAGTCTACTACAAAACGTTTTACTTGAATAAATGCATTAATAGAATAAATAATATTGTTAGAAAGCTCTTTTGTAAATTTAAATTTTTAAGCCGCGGTTTTCAAGAATGGCGTTTTTTACGGGTTTACCGCGCTCTTCCCATGCGTGAAAAGACTGGGACTGACCTTCAAGTTTGGCTTCAAATTTCCGGTTGGATGTAGCGTTCCAGTTCTATTAATTTCAATGCATGCTGTATATAGAGATCGGTGGCTAAGCTGGGCAAGCGCGCGAGGTGGTTGGGGAGGACGCAAGCACTGTTTGCATCATAGCCATAGGGCGCTTTCCATTTAATGGCCTGACCGGTCAGACCCGAATATTTTTCTCTGTATCAATGGAAACATCTGGTTTAAGTTTCTCAAATATCTAGCGAAAATGGACCTCATTCTAATGTTATCTAAATTTTCCGGTCAGATAGGAAATGTTTTGTGTTCCATTCAGCAATTTGACCGTTGTGACCGGTCTGGCCGCGTTAATGGAAAGCACTAGCCTCGTACCCAGGCGCAAATAACGTACTAAAAAACAGCAACACTACAGTTTTTTATATAGATCAGTGGCTGAGCGAGCGCGCGGGGGTGCTTGGGGAGGACCAGGGCGCTTATATATAGGGCGGTGCAACGCGCTTGTTGAGCGCTGATCGATGTGTGATGCGGAAGTGGACTGGCACGAGCATGCTTTTCACGAGAATTCGAGTAGGAGCGTGGTTTTCACCACCGTTATATTTTTGCTTTGTAAACTTTTGTAAATTTTTGGTTTGTAAACTTTGTCAAGCGTTTCGAGCAGAGACTTCAAAACATTTTTATTTATACCTGAAAGTATAGTAGAAAAATCTGCTAAAGAATTGTACGGCGATGGATTTTTTTGTTCATTCTCATCAATATTTTTTTCGAAAGCTTCCAATCTCGTTCCCCGAGCCTGCGATCCTTGGGAAGGAATCGAAGGCTCTGGGATAATCCGTTACCGGAAGCCAAGAATCCTGGCTAAGATTGAACTACGCATCCATTTCAATGGCCAATCAGATTCCTCCCTGAAACGGATTATCCCAGAGCCTTGCGTTCCTTCCCGAGGATCGCAGGCTCGGGGAACGAGATTGGAAAGCTTCCTGCTCAAGCGTACCCGCCATTTTGTTGTTAAACAATGTCGCCATGGCAACAACAACGGACGCGTCACCATACCTCTGCATCACACATCGATCAGCGCTCCAATAGCCGTTGCACCGCCCTATATATAAGCGCCCTGGTTGCACCGCCCTATATATAAGCGCCCTGGTGCAACCTATGGGTGCACCGCCCTATATATAAGCGCCCTGGTTGCACCGCCCTATATATAAGCGCCCTGGGGAGGACCTAGCATCCCCGCGCGCTCGCTCTCTTAGCCACTGATCTATATAAAAAACACTGTAGTGTTGCTATTTTTAGTACGTTATTTGCGCCTGGGTACGAGGCTGGGAAAGCACCCATACATGCGACGTCGGATGACTTTGGATGAAAATTTTGAACAAAGTTAAACCTGATTCGACACAGTAAAATCCCGCTAACTCGGACTAAATCTACCATCAAAGTTTCCATGATCATAGACATAGTAAAAAGTTTGCGTAGGTAGATTCTATGTTTTGAAGGATTTTGTAAGACTTGTTTTAAGAAATGTGATGAGTCAATACCCTCAAACATTTCTCACAATGAAATATGAACCCTTCAAAACGTGGAATTAACTAATGTGTATTAAGTTGTTGAAAGCTATACTCCGAGTGACGAACCATACAGGACAAGAAGAGAACAGTCTACTTGGTCCGGTGTCCCAGGATTCCCCCCCCCCTACAATTTCGCCCCCCAGGGGCGAAATTCCTAGAAATATCGCCCCCCCTGGGGGGGGGGGCGAAAATCCTAGGAAATTCGCCCCCTTTAGGAAATTCGACCCCCTTTAGAAATTTCACCTTTTCTTTAGGATTTTTAGGGAAAGTCATGATCGAGAACTTTGGGAACGTTATTTCAAGCCCTGTAAGAATACAAATTTACAATTACATGTATCGAAAGGGCTTACACAGTTCACAGTTAATAGACTAAGACTTATGACGCTTCACAGCACACCATGCATATTTTGCATTTTCAGTGTTAATCCTTAAACTCATTGTTAAAAAGTAATCACCGGGGTGGTTATTGTAATTATTGGTATTGTTTTGCATCCACATTTTGTCGTTATAGCCCGCCGCACACGAGAGCTACTTGCTGAGCTAACCGCGAGGCGGTTAGCTCAGCAAGTAGCTCTCGTGTGCGGATAGTTTTCGTGAGGATTTGACCTCTCGAGGCCTTGAGGAAAATATCTATCGTGTTTGATATTTTTCGCCTCGCGAGGAAAAAATCTCAGCGTCTGCGGATGTTGTGAGCTAAGTGCTGAGCTGTTTGAATCAATTAGCCAATGACAAACCATGGTTTCTTCATGTGACTTGGAACAAAATGGAGGAAAATGCAAATGATTTTGTCAATTGTGTTGTTGTTCAGTAGTTTTCCCAACGTGTGCGGTGAAAATACATAGCTGAGCTAGCTGCCTCGCGAGGCGGTTAGCTCAGCAAGTTGCTCTCGTGTGCGGCGGGCTTATCGGGAAATGTATGGCTTACAAGTTGTCACTATTTTTTACTTGCATTATTTCAATATAGTTTGTAAATTTCAGAAACGAAGGGTAGAACTTGCCAATAAGCAATACTCCAATAATGCAAATTTCTTTGCGGAAGTTAAAAATCAAGATTACATCACTGACACTGACATGGAAAGTTGACGATTCAATGGACAATAGTCAATACGCTTCCCAACAAATTCCATAGATTTTTTATCAATCCTATAGTTTATTGTTAGCGCGCAAGTGATTAATGTGGTAGCTATTGTTAACACTGGTATTGATAAAATTTGCAAGCGATTGTTTTTATAATATGTTATGTGAATGTAACTGCTAGAAGAAAAGAATACGACAACATGATTTTATGCGATCTCGGTGGGCAATGGTTCCACTTTAGATGTGTAGAATATGACACTAGTCTAAGTACCTCAAATGAGTGGTTATGCAGACCGTGCACACCACCAGCTGCTAAGAAGCTTAAAATGTGTATGTGATTTTGTCTCCTTGTAATAAATAAATAAATCACACAATAAATCTTTTCAACTTGCAATTGTTTTGTTTTTAGATCAAAAATTCAAAATTTATATGGGGGGCGAAATTCCTAAAGGGGGGCGATATTCCTAGGAAATTCTCCCCCCTGGGGGGCTGGGGGCGAATCTCCTGGGGGGAGGGCAAATCTCTTGTGACACCGGCTGGGATTCGAACTCACGACCTTCGGTTTACCAGTAGTCCGATACTCTACCGACCGAGCTACATGCAAGTCAAGTCGGGAGATAACAGGTCGTAGAATGATGGTATTTCAAGGGATTTATGTTGTATTATGTTTCCGTCAAAACAATAGTGTTATCTGGCTTCGACAAACAAGCAGGTTGACTAGTAGATTATCAATCTCGAATGGTGTGTACTGAAATTTTTCTAAAAAAATCCAAAATTTACAAAATTTTATCAAAAGTAAAATATTCTACCAAATTTGGTCACACTGTGTGGTTGCCCAATAGACCTTGCCTTCCTTATTGCACGGTCGTTTCGTACTGCAGTCATTTCGCACTCAACTGCCAAGTCTCAGAACGCCCTTAGTTCTTAATGCTTGACACGAGAGTATTTGTGCTTTTCAAAAAATGTTAGCACGATGGTGATTGCTTTCAGAACCCATGAGGGGCAACAGTCAACCGACTAGACAGCTCCAAGCAAGTGATGGCATAAGCTACCCTTAATGCCTTATACAAAGCTTTACCTTCTCAGCAATGTCACATCTTCATGGATTTCACTATAAACCTACCGTGAGCAGAGGCCGCGGAAGCATTTCGAAAGTGGAGGGGCATTGACCGAAAGGGGCACTTTTGTATATGACCAGAATCAAACGATTTTATGACGTTCACGAGCCGAACGAAAATTTTTGAAAATATGGAGTCTCTCTAACGTCGGAAATGGCCTTTACAGAGTCTTTACTACTGCGAAAAGGGCATTTTCTTTCCAGAAAAAGAGGGCGTTTATTCAAGAAATACTTTTTTCGTTTTTTAAATGGGACATTTTAGCCCAGAAAAAAGGGCACTTTTTTCACTTTTAAGAAAAGTGGGGGGGCACATGCCCCCATTGCCCCCCCGGTTCCGCGGCCCCTGACCGTGAGTGGCGAACTTCAGAAATGGTGACATTTCAGTTTCTACCAATCGATCACAAAACGTGTGTGCTAGGATAATCACATTATGCATAGGTGTACGAGACAGGTGGGGGCAACTGCCTCCCCTCCCCAAAAAAAAAATTTGGAAAACCATGGAAATTCGGGCAAATGCTAGGATAAATCAAGAAAATTCGGGCAGATTTATCAGAAAATAGGTTAAATTCAGGTCATTTCATTACAATCCTCCATAAAAATTCGGGCAAACTCTCAACTGCCCGCTGGAAAGCATCAGCCCCGTGCGTCTATGGTCTTATTATATCTGTCTTATTATACACGACAATAATCAAAGCATTTGGAGACAACAGTTACCTCTCTCCGATACGCGGGCGTGCGATTATGTAATCATGCGTTTGATTTCAGACCAAATTGCTCTCCACTCAGTTCAATTACCATTACAAGGTATTTATTTCAATCTACTAAATAAATTCTGATGTATTGGCTAACAATCATAAAAAACGTTGGTCTCTCTCGTTTTGTTGTCTGAAAATTATGCCTTCAAATTATGTTCCATAAGCATAGCTGTGACCTTCATCATGTTCTATTCACATAGTATATAATGGACTTGATTTTTGCAGTGTCTCTGGACTTATCTCGCATATTTCGGCTGAAAAACCAATCAGACCTGCCGGCCTGAGGAAAGCTAATTTCTAAGCCCTAGCTATTTAACTTCCATAAACTGACCTTCATATCACGAAGCACTGTTCTTGCCGTTTTCAGTAAAATAATTCGATTTAGGCAATAATCTTCTTATTTTAAGCACACACTGACCATTTTTCAGTACCTTCCACAAACTGCCGGCGGGTATGCATAGATCCGTTACCAAACACTCAAAAAGATTCAACTCATTAAGCTTACAATGTTCGTTTGTCAGGGCATCTTCAAACAACATACATACATCTTTAGCACGTATGTCATTCCTCGCCAGTGATAGCTCAGTCAGTTGACAACGTTCATCTTGCAGTGCCTTACACAAACTGGGTATGCATTTATCCGTTAACGAACACAGTCTAAGATTCAACCCAGTAAGTTTACAATGCTCATTTGTCAGGGCATCTTCAAACAACATACATGCACCTTTATCACCTATGACATTGTCAGCTAGTAATAGAACAGTCAGTTGACAACGTTCGTCTTGCAGTGTTTTACACAAACTGGGTATGCATTTATCCGTTAACAAACACCTACTAAGATCCAACTCAGTAAGTTTAAAATGTTCTTTTGTCAGGGCATCTTCAAACAACATACATGCACCTTTATCACCTATTGTATTGTTCCCCAGGAATAGAACAGTCAGTTGGTAACGTTCATCTTGCAATGCCTTACGCAAACTGGCTATGCATTTATCCGTTAACGAACACTCGCTAAGATCCAACTCAGTAAGTTTACAATGCTTATTTGTCAGGGCATCTTCAAACAACATGCATGCACCTTCATCACCTATGGCATTGTCCCTCAGTGATAGACCATTCAGTTGACAACGTTCATCTTGCAGTGTCTTACGCAAACTGGGTATGCATTGATCTGTTAACGAACACTCACTAAGATCCAACTTAGTAACATAGGCGTACCGGGCGGGGGGGCGGGGGGGGCGGCAGCCCCCCCAGTTTTTTGGGCAGTCGGGCAATATTCGATGAACAGTCGGGCAATTTTGGTTTGCAATAAAAAAAAATGGGTCAAATTCTGTAAATTTTGTCTAAAATTAATTCAAATTTTTGGCAAATTTTGTTTTTTTCGAAAATTTATGTTATGCTCCGGAAAAATTGTTTGTCCGGAAAATTTTTTTGACCCCTAAAATGGTACACTGACCGAAATTTTTTTGGCGACGGGGGGGGGAGGTCGCCAAAATAATTTTTCCGGAAAAATTTTTTTGGTCCTAGTCGGGCAGAATCCCGAAAAGTCGGGCAGAATCTCGAAAAGTCGGGCAATTTTCTTGCCGCCCCCCTAATTTTTTCCTTCCGGTACGCCCATGCTTAGTAAGTTTACAATGCCCTTTTGTCAGGGCATTTTCAAACAACATACGTGCACCTTTATCACCTATGGCATTGTTCTTCAGAGATAGATCAGTCATTTGACAACGTTCATCTTGCAGTGCCTTAACTAGTATAGGAATGCAACAAACTGTTAACTCACATACACTTACATCCAATTTATTAAGTTTACGAAGCCCTTTCGTCAGAGTATCACACAACACCTTTGCACCCTCATCACGTATTGAATTATTTCTAAGATCCAAATGTGTAAGATTTGGACAATGTCCATTGTTAAGGGCTTCACAAAGTTTCGAAATTTTATGTGAATCAATTCTATTACGTTTTAGAGTTAACTGCTCAAGTTGGCTCGCATACCCGTTTTCAAAAAAATTGCACATGATTGGTAAACCTGTTTCGGTCATGCGAAAACCAACAAGTGTTAACGAAGTCAGCTTAGTGTGTTTGTGATCCGATATGCAGTTTAATTCCACTAATGTGCTAAATATTTGGTCTATTTCGTATGCTTCAGGCTTAGCGTACGGGCCACGTGTTTTCACATGCATTACTAGTTTATTTAGGCATCTTTTTCGTAACAATCCCGGAAGACAATCTGCGGAAACATTCGACAATTCCAAATTTGCCAAGTTTTTCATGTGTTTGCAAACAAAAATCACTGCCGCCCACTCACTTGGAGAAAGATTATAAAATAGTGTACTAGCGACTAGTTCTACTAAATCGTTTATAGCAGTTGCTTCGCAAACTTCTTTAGTAATCTCCTCATTGTCCACTTCCTTTAAACACTTCATTATAAACACTTCATGGTATTTCAATTTTTCAATTCTATCATTAGTAACTTCGAGGCTTTCAGCAAACGCGAAAACACAATCCTTGTATTCCCTATCAAAATTCTTAATTTTCTTGCCCAAAAGTCCTGCAATGAACTGAAGAACTAAATGCCATTGACCACTTTCAACATGATCGGAAATAAACTTCTTTATTTCGGCTGGAGTAAATGTTTCAGTCACATGTCCTGCAGCAAGAAATTCTTGTATGGTTAAATGGATAAAACAAAACTGTGTTTGTAGTGGGAAAATAGGATTGGATAAGCTGTTCAGTAAACCTGATTTTTTTATTTCTTCATCAAATAATGTTTGATTAAAAACCAGTTGCCCGCTTTTCATACCAAGGAATGCTAATCGTTGAAGTTTCTTTAACGCTTCATGTGCCATAGAGTTTCTGTCTGCATTTCTGCGATGATGTTTCTCAAAATGATCACTGGCTGTCTGGTAAAGTTCTGTGAGTGTTGTTGGAAGGGCGTCGGTTTCATTTCTTGGGTCACTAAGACAACCAGAGAGGGTAACACACACTATAAAGCAGTTGACTGGAATGTAACATAAGTTTAACAGTTCTGATGAGGATTTTACGTGGTTCCATATCTTCGTTGTAAGGTAGTTTGTGTTATTATTATCACAAAATCGGCTGACATATTCTTCAATTTTATCGGAGGTGAAACCAATAATCTCCACATTTCGATCAAAATCAAGTCTCGAGTAAAAACCATCTGCAGTCGGTCTGCTCGTTACAACAACCGTTGCTCCTTTTAACAAATCGCCCAAAACTAGTTTAATGAATAAATGTATTGCTGATGTGCCAGTATTAGGATCGTTTGGAATGATGCGAGATTGGTCTAAGCAACTTATGGGTTCGCCGTGATATTCATCTAAACCATCAAAAATAAAAATGGCTTTTTGTGGCTCTTTTGCAATTTCTTCATAAATACTTTCGAATTTTTCTTCACTCAGTCCCGTCCCAAACTGAAGAAATGTTTTAAGGGATATATTTTTCAATTTGTTATTATTCTCATTGAACCATCTGAATTTAAAAAAGAAGACAATCTTCTCAGAATAATATTCATCAATTCCATTAGCCCAATCACGGATAATTTTTTCGGTCAAGACAGTTTTTCCAATCCCAGGTCTTCCAATCACCAGAATGCTACGAGGAAATTTTCCCTTTGTATCTCTGTTTGGATAAAATAATTCATCAATCTTTTCTAAACATATTGAGTATAGAGGAACTTTCATATAAACGTCGTAGATTTCGTGTCTTTCCATTTCTTCAGAAAAATTATGCTGAGCTCGTCCAGTATGGATAACAACGTCAATATACAATTCATCTATATTAGCATTTGGTCCATAAATTATGCTAGGATCACGGAAACGATTCAAAACTTGTTCCTTGTAAACGTCGATACAGTCCTCAGTCCCAGAATCCTGGGAATGTGGAGGGTTGTCTTCGATTCTTGTTAAAGGTTCACTTTCACCAGCTACATTGTATTGCTTGCCAAGAAGATATTCAATAACAAATTTCGAATCACCGCCCAAGCTAACTCCAGAATGACTGTTGAAACGTGGCAAAAGATAAATCACTTCCCCAAGTATAACTACAGCAACAATACTGTTTATTACAGACACAAATATACCTTATATCCATTTTTCTGACGCTGTCGCATTCTCACATGTCACTAATGTACCATTCAAATTACGACTCGCATTCTTTGGTGTGTTTATGTTGGATGATACTCGATCCGCTGGTGGTAAATTACAGCTGAATTTGAAATCAAACCCATTTGGATAGAGATATGTGTGATGCAAAACAGTTAAGGTGATCAGAAATAACCCACGAAGAACAAGGTGGACAAAATATGAATAAAAAACATATTCCGTTTTTCTGTTCTGTCCACAATTCTCGGTTTCACCATCAGTTTGTTGTTCGTGTCTTGACTCTATTTCGTCGACGCGGGTGCTCACTATCAGTGAGTAAATAACACTGACAAGAACTGCTACTCCAATACTCAGTGGAACAAAGCCGCACAAAGGCAGAGGGGAATTATAAGCTTGATCATATCTTGCAAAACATACCTGATCGACCTGTTTCTTGTACGTGGCCGTACTTTTACCATCAACTAAACAAAAAAATTTTCCCGCGTTCTCGCTTATCCTCAAAAATGTGGTAAAAGCACTTAATGCCAATCCACAAAGAGAATGAACAATTACACATACATAGGTGAAAATACGAAATGTTTTCGGGGCTAAATAATCCTTAACGGCATCTATCATCTTGATATTTAGTAAACTACATCTCTGAAACTTTGGTCTGTGCACTTTAATGTTTCTGCACAACAATTTGGGTAAAATGAAGCGGCAACTCAGTGTATTTTTGTTGATAAGAGACAACAATTAAGTTATTTGAATGCATGGCTAAAGCTGTACAAAAGATGGCAAAATTGCATGTGGAGCTTTTGTGTCTTTGATATTGTTAAAAGTTAATTGAAAATGATCTAAAATTAAGTTGCTGAATATATAGATTAAATGGCTAAAAATAGCAGATATTCAATTTTTTTATTGGGCAGATTTCCCGGTGTTGGACTTCTTGAAATAGCTGTAGTTCACAATTATAAGTGTTGGCTCTCTGCAAGATAAAGTTCTGGCCGAGAAAGCAAGAAACGTACAAGGAGACAGTTAAAAGCTTGTCAATATGACGTAATGAGCTGGACTCCACACATAGTTATTTCAATGCATGGTTAGATCAATTCAAAAGATAGCAACATTGCGTAGGGAGCTTTTGTGTCTTTGATATTGTTGAAAATGGTGTAATCTTGTTTGTTATATCTACAGAAATGACTAGAAAATACCGAAGATTTTATTATTTTGTACAGAGTCGAGGTAAACGTCCTTACATATGAATGTCTTTCATGAACATTCAGGGCCCGCGGAGCGTATTAGAGAGTGGGGTGGCTAAATCATCAATAAAACCCCCAATTAATTAATTTAGAAAGTTTCATTTAGATTTCTATTTTAATAATTTTGCCTGTCAAAAAAAGTGGGGGGGAAAAAGCCCCCCCAGCCCCCCCGTCTCCGCGGTCCCTGACATTATATATGCGTTGGCTCTCTTCAAAATATTTTCAGAAGAAGTATGGAAGTTATAGACAGGCATGATAAAAGCTTGTCTACATGGGTTGGTTTCCATGGGTTTCGAACCAGAGTGTAGCGTATTTGTTTGTTTCCCGAGTGAGCAATGATTTTCAAATTATTCGACATAAAACTGCATATGCTACGCTAGACGTTTCAAGGTTGATGACGTTGTTAAGCTAGACTTCCCACAGGCATGACTAGATGAATTACTGCCGTTGAGTTCAACATGAGTCATGACTGGTTAATTGTTATCCCGGCCCTTTACGGCAATGCGCCAAAATTATGAAACTGGCATGATATAAAATCATATGAAAGAAGCAATAGATTAGGGCCATATACGTATTCGCACAAAACACAGACGCTTAATAAAAAAATAGCGCTAACCCACCGGGCACACGACGTTGTTTCAACGTTGAAATTTGGTAGAAAAAAGGTTGCGACGTCGACAACCTAATATCTACGTTGCTCTGACGTTGTTTTACAAACATTGGTTCAACAGCAGCCAACAGACGTTGAATTAACGTTCATTCATGGTTAAATGTACGACGTCGATTTGTGAACCAATCTCAACGTTGTTTTAACATGGATTCAACGTTGAATTATGGTTTACGAGATTGGCAACCTAATTTCAACGTTGTTTCAACGTCGAAACAGTAACGTCGATCCAATTTGCATAGTCAACCCTTTTTCAACGTACGTCTATCCAACGTCTGGAAGGTCATTACCAACGTTGATTCAACGTTGGATAAACGTCATTTTGCCCGCTGGGAAGTTGATATATACTTCAGCGTTAACACTCTATAACCGAAATGAATATATTAACTGGAACGCTACCTTTAGAGAAAACTGCGCGAAGCCGAATCTGACGGCATGTACTAAAACCCGAAACAACCGGAACGAAACAATGGGAACGACCGGAACAAGAATTGGAAATGACCGGAACCACCGAAAAACCCTTCCGAAATAATTATTGTTCCTAATGCCGAATCGGACCCACAAAACTAAAAGTCCTAGCTAAAAGTCAAGTCTACTACAAAAAGTTTTACCTGAATAAATAGACAGATTTAGATCGAGGACGCGGACGTCAAAGACGACGTGAAAATTAAAATGGCGTGTTGTGCCCATGTACGGATATGCCACGCCATTTTGACGCCGTTTTCACGTCGTCTTTGACGTCCGCGTCCTCGATCTAAATCTGTCTATAATGCATTAATAGAACTTTTCAGCGCTGTTGAAAAGCTTTTTTGTAAATTGTAAGCCGCATTTTTCAAGCCATATTCATACACTTTGTGATTCATGCAATCTCGTTCCCAGAGCATGCCCGTTCGCAGGTTAACCCTAGCCTGCGAACGGGGATGCTCTGGGAACGAGATTGACTGATTCACGTTGACGGACAGGTTGACGGATTGACCGCTCTCTTCCCATGGTCGTGGCTAAAGGAGATGAACTAAAGGCACCTGTTAAGATGGCCGCCAGTTTATTTATTATTTTATTTATTAACTTTACAACATACAAAAAAATTATATCAATGATTGAAGGTAGGGTCAACAGGTGATGAGTCCCATGTGAAGATCAACCTGAATCCTAACCCCAAACTAACCCTAAACCTGACCCCCACACCTAACCCTAATCCTAACCCCCACCCTAACCCTAATACTAACGCAAACTCTTATTTCAATTTTGGAATTATCGATGTCAACTACCTCTCGTCCACCTCTTTTAGACATTAAAGTCTCCCATGCGTGAGTGAAAAGACTGGGACTAACCTTCAAATTTGGCTTCAAACTCCCGGTTAGAGATAGCGTTCCAGTTATAGTCAGTTCCATGCTGTATATATAGATCGGTGGAAAGCGCGCGCGGGTGCTCGGGGAGGGCGCAAGCGCACATCACGACGACTTTGGAGAAAAAGTTTGAATGAAGCTATAACTAGTCTAAAGGCCTGTTCATATGGGCAAAAGTTATCTCGGTTAGCGAGAAAACTTTTCGACAAGTTTATTAAGCGAGATCTCGCCTTGTTACGAAAATAATATGAAAAGTTACACTGCGTTCATATGAGACAAAAAGTTTTTCTGTGTACCGAGATCTCGCTTGTTGACAGGCGAGATCTCGGTGACCGGGATGTTTTTCCCATATGAACACAACTTTCCCGCTTAGCGGGATAACTTTCTGTCGTGTCAGCAACTTTTCAATTCAATTGATGTTCAGTGCCACGTCACATAACAGCCGAAAACTTTACCCGGTAAGCGGGATAAAGTTTCTCCATATGAACAGAACAAAAGTATTTGGCTAGTCGAAAAGTTTTTTCGTTAACCGGTAGAACTTTTGCCCATGTGAACAGGCCCTAAATCCACCATCAAAGTTTCCATGATCATAGTAGGAATTTTGCATAGGTAAATTCTATGTTTTGAAGGATTTTGTAAGACTTGTGAGAAATGTAATGAGTCAGTCCCACTCTCCTCCGCAGAGCCTTACGAATTTTTAGTAAAATTGCTTAATATTCAGGGGGGGAGGACAAATTACGCAAGGTATCCCTACAAATCCTATATAATTCAGACTCTGCGGAGGAGAGTGAGTCAGTCCCTCAACATTTCTTACACTGAAATATGAACCCTTCAGAACGCGTGGAATTTTAATATCCATGACTGTCATGTGTCGAAAATTTCTACTGTGATCACAGAAACTTTTGATAGTAAAACCAGCAATAAGAAGTATACTCTTATAGAAGTATACTTTATTATTCAATATCAAGATGATAGACGCAGTTAAGGATTATTTATCACCGATGCATGTGTTCATTTCCTTTGTGACCACAGCTTTGAGGGCAAGTGTAACGAGAAATTTTCTTGCTTTGTTAATAATAATGCTAATTGTACGGCCACGTACAAGAAACAGGTCGTTTGGGCATGTTTTGCAAGATCTGATCAGGCTTACAACTCCTGTTTGCCTTTGTACGGCTTTGTTCCGCTGTCTATATGGTTTCACTGACTAAGTATTGAATTACAGTTCTTGTCAAGGTCTAGCTAGTCAAGGTCCAGACACACCGGACGCGATTCGACAACGCGATGCGACTTTTTAGTTTTTGAAAGTTAATAAAACAGCCAATGAGAGCAAATTTTGAAAGATACGTAGACCAAATAACTCAAAATGTTATAGCGCTTCTTAGGGACCGATTACATGGAGCATTTTCAACCCCGGGGTTGAACTCAGCCCTGTCTGTAATACAAAACTCTATCAAAATCAAACGCGCGATTACATGACAAAATTTTCAACCCAGGGATGAGTTCAACAACCCCGGGCCGGGTTGAACTCAGCCCTGGGTTGAAAATTGTGTCATGTAATCGTTTCAACCAAGTTTCAAACCCAGGGCTGAAATTATAATGAGTTATTCGAGCATGCGTGGTAGTGAAAGAAAACAAAATAAAGGCTTTTTTACTTCCGCGAATCGATGCCGAGAACGTATAGTATAACGTTTTAACCCCGGGGTTGAAATCGTCCATGTAATCGCAAAAAATTTCAACCCGGTTAACAAGGCTGAGTTCAACCCCGGGGTTGAAAATGCTCCATGTAATCGGCCCCTAAATATTTGGAAAATTTAAACTAGAATCAAAGTTATCGGTCAGTCGGAAAATCGAAAAATCGCGTCGCGTTGTCGAATCGCGTCCGGTGTGTCTGGACTTTTAGTATTGCTATCAGGGCGCTGCTGATATAAGCGCCCTGGTTACCGGTTTATTCACTGATACTTGTACCACTATACTTGTCCTAATTCTGTGACTGTGTGCAAATATAGCATTTCCGACACAAGGACTCAAGCCCTATAGGCTATACAACTTTTACAAAAAACAAGTTGTGACTCGAGGTCGAAGAGCTTGTATTGTAACAAGATTCCGACTCAACGGCAATGGCGATTCCATATCTTAGTGTACGAGTTTACTCGTTCACATTGCTAATAAACCAGGCTTTTTACATGTTCATGAAGGTATATGGTCATATAAATCTCAACGCCGTACGCTCCAGCGATTTCATGACTACGTATATAAATACCGAGAGACATGCAATGTTGTCGAGCGGATTCAAGGAGACAAGCTTGAGTTTGTACAACTGCCCGTCCGAGTGCCAAATAATTATACTTTATCTATCTATTCTAGAGAATATTAAGTGCCTTTTTGCCCCGACTGACAGTTTGCCCCAAACGTATTTAATCTGCGTAGCTGCTAATAAAATACCTCATATGAATATATGCTTTAATGAGATACACTAACGAGTAACGTATACATATCTTGATAAATACCTCATAGGATCTTTGCTAGAGCTAGATAAAAGCCCTTGAGTAACAAAACAAATCGACTCACTGATAAAATAGTGACATTTTTTATGAAACCACTTTATTTGTGCTCTGACAGTTTACAAATACAGAACTGAACTCAATTTGCTTGTCAAAATAGACATAAATATTAAAGTTTTGTGATATACACGGAATGTTATTCTCATTCTAATAAAAAAAATCCCAGTTTGTGCTTGAACTATTCTTTGTGTTCGTTTAATACATTGTCTTATTGATTCACCAAGATGACCATTCCTGGAGCGGGTCTTCTGCGACGGCAGTATCTGACCAGAAAAACTGTTCCTAGTATGATAGCAACTACAATACCAACGGAAACAACAACAGCAATGATTGTCGAAAGCGTTTCGCCACAATCCGAGGAATTCGGATGCCCACATTTTCCATTCTTACAGCAACTTTTCCCGCAGTCCTCGTTACTTGAACACGTAATGTTTTCACAGCTTGTCAAACATAACATATCGTCTTCTTTGCCACAACATTGCTTCTCACATATTGCATAAGTGAAGGCATATCGGCATCGTCTTGCTTCGACGACACAAACAACAGCAAAGAGAACAGATATGACAACCGCAAGCTTATTCATTTTATACGCACGGGTTTTTCTTCGATGCTTTCTGGCGAGAAGATGCTCCCTTTCAATTTAGGAACTGAAGTACTCTTGGTAGAACGCGTTCAACTCAGCCACAGAAATAGAATGAGGATGTGATTCTAAAGATGCCTTGGGGATAATCCGATATCTGCATAACGTCATATGGCGTGGCAATGCCCGTATGACGTATGTAAATGCTGAGAAGGAAATGAAACAAGGGGACGCGGTTGGAAACTCAGAGGGACAAAAAATTAATGAGAAACAAACTTTTTGAAATAGACGATTGAATGGGAATCTTGTTCTGTATTTCGGTTCTAGAGGGCTTCATCAGCCACCAAGGCTGAAAATTTCATCAACTATGCATACATGATTCTGTTGGAACTAACAACCTGTTCGCTCAGCTTGAAATGCAAGCGTTGTTAAGAGACGCGAAAACATGTACTTTGCCGTTGTCAACAGAGTTTGCACGACTTTTAAAACTCTCGTAATTATTTTTTATTTGGTGATATACGATGAATTTAATTTATCGTGCATTTATAGTTGTTGTCCTTGCGTTTGGCGTCAAGTTTTCAACTTATTACTTTACTTTTATTGATTTCTTTACAGACAAGGATTTCGTACTCTAAGGGGTCTATTGCTAAGTAATAGAGGCTTTTCCATATGATAAAACATATTCATAATTATCAACAGAATTTGGGTAAAGTTTACCGAAGATGAAATTACTCCAATATTAAAGTTCCTATTTAGAATTTATTATGATTATACTAATGAGAGTTACTAATTAGAATTGCTAATTAGAGAAATTGCAGGCTCACTCAGGTTGCACAGCGTCCTCTAATGAATAATGCGAGGGGCCTGAGTACTAATCTTCCTTCGCGCAATGCTTCCACTCATGGCGAAGATGTTTTCTAGCAAAAGGAAATTTTGTCCTGGCTCCTCCGGCAGGAAAATGAGAAGGAATTCAATTTGGAAAACAGAACGAAATTGAATGAATTGTCAGGAATTAAAATGGCAGGAAATTCCGTCTCTTTTAATCACTGGTTCTGGTCCAGCTAACCTGTAAATCTGAAATGAGAAAACGTTTGAAAACTTAAGCTCAAGCCGTCCCATTTACACGAGACACTGAGACCTCAAAAATTTATGAATGCACAGTAAAAATTTTGTTTTTGCAGTAATTTGCTGTGAATTCTGTACGAATTGCAAATGCTGCATGGAGAGCCTATTCGCAGGCTACATGATGCGCGGGCACATGCGGGCAATGGAAAATTTAGTTTTCGGCAAGTGGAAGCAATGTTCTTCATGGCATTATGAAACAAGAAAAACACATAAATTTTGGTAAAAAAACTTGAATTTTTCTTCAAATATACGGTTGATTTTAAACGGTTTCTCGCCGCTTTTGGGTTGAGACGTTTCTTTAAACACCAATCAACATGGAAGTGACGGTGAAAACTCTCGATTCGCAGACGAAAACGTTCAACGTCTCGCTTGAGGTAAAGTGTACTCAAATCTCAATGTGTTTTAATTTATATGGCGTTGTTTAGGCGTCGACATTGTTTCTTTTCAGTGTTATTTCCTTGGCTTTTTGTCCATGTGTTTGTAGAAGGAACCTAAAGCGAACTTCTGATGCGTTTCTTTTAGACTACTGTTAAAGAATTCAAATCGAAAATTGCAGAAGAGATGGTAATATATCTCAGTTTATATTGTTTGGTAATAGTTAAATAGCCTACTGTGACCGTCGTGGCTATCTCGCCATATTTCAGTGTTGGCATTGTTGGCCACCAGTTTGATTGAAAGAAGCAAATACCAGGAGAATGCAGAAAGTACTGTGTTGTTTCAAATAGTTTAAATTACTTTCCACATGTTTCTGATAGTTACATTGTTCAAACCGACATCTCTTCATATACATTGCCATATGCCAGCTATTTTGTTGCTATGTCTGTTCTAAATTTCCAAGATATTCAGTACAGGGTTAGGATAACAACGCTCAAAATAATGGCTAATAAAAAAAATTCCATTCCCTGTCTGGTCCGGCAAACCGCCATGCTTGCTTTGGGCGCATTCTTAAGTGATATCTTCAACTATCGTACATTCATTTGGGCAGATATATTAAAAGTGTCATGAACGTTAAAATGTTATGAGCATTAACATTATTGCTGATATCGGCACTATTTTCAGATGCTGTTAAAACCATGCTTTTCACATGAAAAGGCTTTTGAGGTTGACATTTTATTCAAACATAAAACAGAATAAAAATTTTTGCTTCATTTGAGCAGTATCGACGTACTGGCCGCCACGCTGATGTAAAGAATCAAATACTAAAATTAAATAGAATTTTAACCCAAATGTATAATTTTTTTCAAAGTAAAACTTTGACATTTTAAGTGAAGGCCCCTATGTCAGGAAGTTAATTAGATGGATCAGGAAAATAAATTTGCTTTCTGGATTTATGCTACTAACTTCACAATGAAGGGCCTTTGCTCAAAACGTTGACACTTTATGGGTAGTCGAATCCCTTTTAATTTGTAGCTTTTTGGTACTATTGTCAACAAAAGCATCTATGCTGGAACACATCATTTGAGTTGGTATAATTTAGTTTTCAGCCTTTGGAAGTAATGCTGACATGAGCAATAATATTTTTGAAAACTCTTTGATTTGAGTATGATTCATTGCATTGACTTGATACTCTTGGTAATGATGTGTTGAACTTATAAAATTCCCATTTTTGTGGGTTCAATATTAAAAATTTTGTGACATATATTGAAGAAGGTCTATACTGCATCCAAGGGCAGTCTTGTTAGCCCAACATATTCTACATTCTACGGTATATTCCCTTATTCCACCCTAACACAGACTAATATGTTTCTTGCAGAATATTCCATTTGAGAAACAAAGACTTATATTTCAAGGAAAAGTTTTACAAGATGATAAACCTCTACAGGAGTACAGTAAGTCACTTATTGTAACTCTTTTTTACCACATACACAAAAATAGCTTGCCACAGTATACAATAAGGTACATGGTGCGATAGTCACAAATCTGCCCATGTGTCTAACAGCCAACAGTTAATTTGTAAACTATTTACAGGTAAGCTATGTAAAGCATATCTCTTTTGAATTCCTGACTCATTTGAAATTTTCCTCATCAGCTTTGCAAATTTCATTTTAAATTTTCCTAATTAGCCAATTACAACTCATAGAACAGAACAGGAAGTTAGGAACTTGTGACAGGAAGTTAATAACTTCTAACAGGAACTTAGGAAATTTAATTGGCTTTTAGTAACAATGCAAATTCCCTCAAGGGATTTGTAAGGGAGGTTAAATTGCAAAAGTAATTAGAAAAATTGCAATCAATTTAGAAACTCAAAAGAAGAACACTTCACGTAGTTTACCTGTAAGTAATCATTGTTGTATTTATTATTTTCAGAGGTTGATGGCTGTGTGGTACATTTGGTTGAGAGACAGCCTCCTAGAGCAACCAGATCAAATGGACAAAGTAAGTCTGACAAAGATGAGTGTATCACTCCAAAAAAATTCAGACACCTCCAAAAATCACCGAAAATTTCTATGAAATCTCTAAAAAATCCGTATGAAATCTCTAAAAAATTTCATAAAGTTTTTGAATGATTGTATAACAAAGCTGCAACAATCATTTTGACAGTAAAAGCATTGGGCGTAAAAAAACCCCCTATTTTTTCTGCCGACCCTATTATTTTTTCAACGCGATTGACTGTATGACCCTATTTTCTCCGGGTGGTTGCGGGCTGCTGCCAAAATGGCGTCTGTTGTCGCACAAATTATTGAAAAAACCATAAAAAAAAATTTAAAAAAAAAATTATTTCCGACCTACCGACCCTAATTTTTTCGCCATATGAAACCGGAACCACATGTATTTTTTTACGCCTTGGTATGCTAGAAATTTCAGACAAAAATATTTGTGAAATTTCAGGCAAACATTTCTGTGAAATATTTTCAGGCAAAATTTCAAAAAAATTATAATTTGTAGCAACAACAGGGTGTTAATATGGTGCCATCTAACTCTCTGAAAATATTGGACAGCAACTTCTATTTACAATATTATAAGAAATGCAAGGGTTATGCATGAGTCAATTCCTGGAGTAACCATCCCCCATTGCCCGATAGACAGTTCACGGGGGTCGGGAATTTGCCTTCGACTGTAAAAATCGTCTTGTAAAATCGACTGAAAAATCATCCCCGGGGTGGGGCATTTTCCACTCTCAGCTTGCCCAGGGGCTGTGCATTAGTCTTCAAGTTGTGTCCCGGCACCCGGGCATTTACACTATCATAACCAATCAAATCAAATGCCCGGGTGTGTTCCCAGGGTGGGGGGGATGATTACTCCTGGAATTGACTCATGTATTACTGTAGGCAAAGAGAAATTAACAAATTTTGGTGATTTTGCCTCTTTCTAGGTACAGAGACAACTACAAGTTCAACAGCAACCACAACCAGCCCTGCAAACATGTTCATGGGAGCTTTTCCATTGCCTGTTGATGTCATGGGTGTAACACAGGTATATGCCTTTGTGTTACAAACATTTGTTTTATTTATACTGTTTCAGTCCTGGCAATTTTCAATGGCAAACCACATGCAAATGCTGCCGGAAATTGAATTATTAACCGAACGTTTTTGCCAATGGTTATCATGTACTATAAAGGAATCTAATACATGGACAACAAGTGAATTCTCTTTCATTTCAATAAATCAACATTTCAGTTTTTAAATTATCTGTTAGCTACTCATGTGAATCTTCAAATTGTCATTTTGGGGGAAAATTCTGCTGAATTGTAAAACATCGATGGCATATTTTTTTCTGTGATGATAAAAATATTTTTGTTTTCAGCAAATCGTGCAAGGAATTATTCAGCAGATCGGAGCAGAAAGTGCTCAGGCGAACATCAGTACTTCATCATCGGTAATTACTGCACAAAGTGTTTGTGTTTTAGCAACGTCTTACAGTCAAATATTGCCTTTTCACAAGATCATCCAGTCTCCAAGATTGCAGCTCAAAAGGCTGCCTATAATTTATATAGTAATTGTATTTAAGTATATTTGTAACAGGGTTTGTAGCAGTCTTTGAAATCCTTGAAAGTCTTTAAATTGGAATGCAGGTCTTTTGAGGTCTTCGAAAAGTCTTTAAATTGTGTGAAAAAGCGAAGAAAGTCTTTAAATTCTTTAGTGAGGAATTGATTACACGATTTCCTAGCTAATAAAATAGCTTGATTGAATCGGGATTTTCGCAAATATCGACGAAAATGCGCATTTTAGGATGTGATTTGACGGGACTAATTACCGGGTAAAAATGGTGCTTACACTCGCAATTTTTCGACTGCTGATTGCTCTCAAAGGTCTTTGAAAAGTCTTTGAAAATAGGCAGAAAAAATCTTTGAAAGTCTTTGAATTTTTTTGGCCTTGGAGACTACGAACCCTGTTGTAAGTTACAGTTAAAAGGCTTTGGTTTTAAACTAACATAAATAAAAATGTTATTCTAATGCCTGTAATGGGTAATTCCAGCTATGGACTAAATTTTGATCAAGGCAAGAAGAACAAAATCCAACACCACAGCTAGAAAGAGCGTCTTAGAATGAGTAAAACTGCAAAGATTAGTTGCCAAATGTTGTATATATTTGTATTACGCGTGGTAAAAATAACCACTTTCGGCTCAAAAATGGTTCTTTCCCCGCGCGTAATGCAAATATATACAAAATTTGCGAACTTCACATGTGCTATATTTTCCTCATTTTACAACAATTTGCAACCAAACTTTACTCATTTTAAGATGCTCTTTCCAGCTATGGTAATGGTTTCGCTCTTCTTGTCTAGATCAAAATTTTATCAGACTCTTTAGCTCGAATCTCATCTATTCGAATGTTGATTTTCTTAAAACAAGTGATTTGCTACATGAAAAATTCCAGACTGTTTCAGTTCAACATATCGTACATAAATGTAGTACAATTTGCTATTAAAATGCCTTCGCATTATTGATATTGTGAAAGATGTGTACATTTTACATACACTTTCCTTAAAGTTTGAATATATATTATGAAAGAATACATGATTTTTTAACTTTAAATTTGCATCGGAAAGTATAATCGCAGATCAGCATTTTCTGACCTGAATTCAGAGGCCTGATCATATAAATTGTTGTTATTTTCAACAGGATGATGGGTCGTCTGTGAATGTTCATATCAACTTATCAACTGTTATGGTGAGATTTAAAATCCACAATTCTAATAGACTGTTCAATGCGCTCTTGCTTAATAGGGTTAAAGATACGTAATCTTTTTGGCATTCGTCTCAAAATTTCCTTTAGCTTTATTTTCTAGTTTACACAGTTAGCAAGCTTTTTAAATGTATCTGGCTGTTGAGAAACACAAAATAATAGTTAAATATTGTCAATTTAAATATACAATTATCATTGATGCTGTAAAATTGACGCCATATTTATACAGCAATATAAGCAAAACTTACTGAACTTCAGACATAATTTTCTCTTTGGCTTATCATCTAAAATCTCTTCACTTTAAGATAATTTTACAGATAAAGCACTAAACATACTTTTTAAGTTCGTTTGCCGCTTGAAAAACGTACAAGAAATTGTAAAAGTTGAATATACAGTAGTCATAACCAAATGGAAAAATATATTCATTACTCATTAGTTTTGAGCGCGTGTTACGTAGCATACAAAACTAACAAAAGATTCACGACTTACTGTAATATTGTACACAGATAGACTCTTGTTTGACTTGAGAATGACATTGTGACATTTTATACATTAGGCAAGAAATGATGCAAGATCAAGATTAGCACCTGCGAGGGCTCACTTGAACAATGTTTCCAGAATCATCAATCGTCTTCAGGTTAGTAATCCACCGATTAATAATCATTCCTGACTTCTGACCGGAGAATACCCATTGACCAGTCGTTATTTCAGACCCTGTGACCTTTCCGTAATTATAAGTATTACCATACAACGTGTATGTAGGCTAAGACAGATGGAACGAATGGATGTTGGAGTCGATTGTTGTGTTTGTAAATGGACGTCTTGTTTTATTTAGTTTATCTTGCCAAATTTAGTCGGACATTGTCCGATGTCCGACAGTAATTTGCGGCCCTGTTTTATGTACTTTTCTTCAATAGTATTAGTAACACTAGAGCAATATAGAATGATCGTTACTAGACCTCTAGGTAAAACTGATTTCGCAGAGCTGACCAGCTCAAGCAAAGGCTTTGATACAATGTGCTAAAACAGCAGTATTGTTTTGTAGAATGATGGTCTGCCTTCCGGTAGAGATTTAAATGGCGACAGTTCAAACAGTGAAACACCGTCAGGGAATGAGGGAACTGAGAACAATAACAATGGGAAGTAAGTAGTAGAGGAATAAGTTATTTCATTTATAAAAAAAATCGATGACTCACTCGTGCGTGTTTAATCCAAATTGCACTCGAAACCATCCTAAAACATATTCCCTATCAATCCGAAACTTTCTCAAAATTGGAGGAATCGTACTGTACATGCAGTCATAGTTCATAAATACACTGATACATATTTTGTACAGTACATGGATGTACGCTATTCCATCAGAGCCGCAATAAAATTCCAGCCCTGCTTTATCTTGGTTTCTGTAGAACAAACTTATATCTTTTCTTGTTTTTATTCCTTTTAAGTGCTCTTGGAGATCTGGCTGATGTGCTTCAACAAGTCGTTCGTCTCAATGATGAAATACGGCCACACTTAGAACGCTATCAAGAACTTCTGCGTTCGGGAACAGACAGAGAGGTAAATAGTTTAAATTGAGTGTCCGCTAATTTCCTCAAACCCAATTGCTCGGAAATTTTCACATATCAAGCCACGGGCTTTAGGACAAATTCAACTCGACAACAATAGTATTCTATCTAAATAGCAGTTAAAATAAAGTGTACGGCACCTGAACTGTTCAATATCTTGCTTCTGTATCCATAAAACATTTACATATATGCAAAACTGTATATTTTCAAAATCCGCCATATTTATTTACTTTAGAACCCAAGCTTTCGCGGTTCACACGAAATATTAACGTCGGTGATTTTCACTAATAATCAGAGGGTAGGGTTAAAGTGGGCGTTGTCACTCGCTAACCCAATCAGCTGTCTGGGTTCTGTACCACGTGACCTGTTCAAATCGTTCCGAGCGGGAGGAATCTTATGACATCATAACGACTTCGATAAAAGATTTTGAGGACACGTTTGTGCCATATAAGGAAGTTGGGGACACGTTTGTGCCATATATGGAAGCATGGTTTCCTCGCGCTTCGAACGATTAAATAATTGGATGATCCTACGCTCTTATTATTAGTGAAAATCACCGACGTTAATATTTCGTGTGAACCGCGAAAGCTTGGTTTCTCATGTAAATAAATATGGCGGATTTTGAAAATATACAGTATTTGCATATATGTAAATGTTTTATGGATACAGAAGCAAGATATGGAACAGTTCAGGTGCGGTACACTTTATTTTAACTGCTATGTAGATAGAATACTATTGTTGTCGAATTGAATTTGTCCTAAAGCCCGTGACAAGCCGCTGATGAATAAAATTCGGTCACAGAACAGGAAATTTTATATTTTTGATGACATCATTTGACGAATTTGCGTCTTGAGTATGACTGTATTATAAATTAAATCTGGCGGTAAATATTGCAAAATCTATTCGGAAATTTTCTACTTTACTTAAGCATGCATAAGACCTTCTGACCAAGGATTGCTGTTAGCTTCAGGCACTTGCAGGTAGCGCCGCTACCTAGCTAGGATCCCAACATCTCTCAGGCATGACAAACAAAAATTTGTCTTGTTTTGCAGGGCAGAGTATACTGAATGTAATAATAGTCCGAGTGCCCCTTTTACAATTTGATCTTTTTCACATCAAGCTCCGGCCCGTCGATGACCTGTTACCAGACCTGGCGGCCGAGGCTCTCCACAGCCTCAGCCATGCGTACCACGCTCTGTCTGACATCACAACCAACTTCCGGATCCCCGAGCCTCGACTCAACGTCTTACCATCCATGTCCCCTGTCCCAATTGCTCCCGTGAGGAATACTAACGCGTCATCACCCAACAGCCAATCACAGCCGTCCTCAACCTCGCAGACAACCACAGGTGCACCAAGCGGAATTCCCATTGGAATTGGCCTGAGACCCGGGGGTGGACTGGGTACGGGTATAGGTCTGAGGACCGGGAGAGGTCTGGGGCTTAGCTTTACCCCCAGACCCGGAGTTACACTAAGACCGGGAAATGGTATTCCTTTTGGAAGTCGGAATGGTATTCCAGCCGGGATTGGTTTATTTCCTGCCGGCGCTGGTCTTGGAGCGAGTTTTCCCGGAAATCCAGTGACGTCAGTTCCGACCACGGGTGCAGCGGTTACGTCAACAGCGGCTGGTAATGTCCCTAGACCACAAAATCCTCAGGTAAGTGTCTTACGCCATGGAGATTTGTGCGAACACTCTCTCTGATATTAAAGGCAAAGTTCAGCGTGTCACTTTGTAAATTTCGTTTGTGAACATTTGTACTACAAGTGTGAAATTTGTTAAATTTTGAAAGGAAGAAGGTTCAAATACATTACAATACTTCACGTTCACGTACCCATGCAAAGTCGCGGGTTCGATTCCCACCGTGATCAGGCAAACTTTTCAGCTTGCCTGGTGTGGATGCACACTCAGAGTAACATCACAAACATCATATTCACCTGACTACATAACACCAACACACACGAAAATCATATCATAGAATACATTGATATCGAAGGAACTAGACTCAGTTCCGAAAAATCACCAACTCGAACCGACTTGACCTCGTAGCTCAGTTGGTAGAGCATTGGACTGGTATCCCAAAGGTCGCGGGTTCGATTACCACCGTGGTCAGGCAACCTTTCCGCTTGCCCATTGTGGATGCACACTCAGAGTAACATCACAAACATCATATTCACCTGACTACATAACGTAGTTGTAGTCATTGTCAACTTCACTCCCAACGGCAGTAACAAATGTACAAATTGACGTTAAAAACCAAAATTCAAAAAGCTGAACTGTGCCTTTAATAATCGATGTACGTATTGAGTTACTGAACCTTTAACCTATTCGGTATAAAGTTAATTTAGATTAGGTTTCCTCCTGCAGTAGCACCTAACTAGCAGAAAAATGAGTCAATGTAATTGTTGTATAAGCAAAGTTAGTTGCGTTCCTTGAACTTTCTTCAACATCAAAATAAAACAAAGTTTCTGCTAAATCTAGGATTTTG